CACGGTACTGAAAACGGTTCTATTCGAGATGGTAGTGAATCACAGTCTGGAGGAAATCAGGAGGATTCCATGGTGGATTCACTAAGCCCCAGAGATACTTACCGAAAAAGGAGATAAACATTAAAGGGAAAAGGATGGTTGCTGATGGAATTGATGCATCGTAGGGTCAATATGACGCCGCCGGAGAAGGGAGGGAGGGAGAGGAGAAGGGAGGAGAGGAGGAAGGGAGAAGACGCCGCCGGAGAAGCAGCTGGAGAAGACGCCGTCGGAGATAGAGAGAGGGACCGCTCCGTCGTTAGGGCTGCTGAGAAGGGGATGGAGGGGGAGGAGAAGCGTCACCGGCAGCAACGGCGTGGAGAGAAGCCGCCGACAGCAACGCCGTGGTCGGATCGGGAATGAGAGAGATGAGTGATTTAGGGTTGAAAATTGAATTTTATGAGGGGTAGGTATATAAAAATTATTTTTTATAATATTATTATTAATATTTAATTAAATATAAAAATATGTATCAATCTATAAAAAATCTGATTTTTGAACACTAAAACTTAAAATATTATTTTTGAACTTGGATCTTGAAAAGTAGGCCTACATGTAATTTCCACTATTCCAATGGTGTAGGTTTGAGGCATGGGCACAAGTCAACCACATTCGGCCCAATTTTTATTTTTCCACTAACAGAAAATGAATTTGTGTTGAAATGGTCCATTATACAACAACTACCAATATTTAGCCCTTGTTTGATTTAGTTGAAAATTAAATTTTTATTATATATTAATAAAAATTAATAAATATATGATAAAAAATTTAAATCGAATATTATAAGTAATTGAAAATGAGTTTTGAAAAAAAAATACAGAGCAAAAGCATTGACTTAAATTTTCATTATAAATTTAACTCGTATAATTATATGATTGGCAAATGGTTTATAAACTATTTATAAATAATTAAATTATTTTTATCTATATATTTTATAAAATAAATTAGTACCCTCATTTCTATATATTTATAAAATAAAGGATTAATAGAAGAAAACTCCATAAAAATGTTTTCTTTTGTGATATAGTACATACCTATTGAAAATCGTAGAAAACTCCTCTGCTTGAAACCTCTTGTGCGAAAACCTCCTCTTTCGTCAAGATCCTTCAGATTTATCGTTAAAAACAGTAAAAAAATGTCAAACTTAAAAAGGGAATAAATGTAATTTCAGTACCTAAACTTTTTTTTTAATTACTAATTATACCCAAATGTTTTGTATGTGCTACCTACAATCCCAAATATTTAAAACTTTATTTTCTTCCTCACCCCAGCCCAACCCACGCCACCCCACCCTATCCTCTTCCTCACCTTCAACCTTACTCAATTAAACCAAAATCAAAACCCGGGAAATTCAGAACTTTGGAATACTCCTCAAAGCGAAAATCATTAAAAAATGATCATATAAATCCAAAACATACATATTCAAATCCAATCTTTTACATGCAAAAAAACAAAATACAGTATTTGATACTGTGAGTAGTGAAAAATTTAAAATTTTTCCTAACTTTATTATCGAAGTCCACGCATGGCATAAATAATCACACATGGATTGGGGGACTATTGTTACGACTCGTAAAATGGAAGTTTGACGTGGCACCATAATTCACCGGTGGGACCGATCTATTTGAGCCAGGGTGTACTTTCTTAGCCTTTCAAGAATATTCCGAGGCCCTTCATCCTAGGCCATCATTGCTAGCAGAGGCCCTTTCATCCGAGGTCATCATTGCTAGCCCAGGCCCTTTCATCCGAGGCCATCATTGCTAGCCGAAGCCCTTTCATCCGAGGCCATGTTGTCAACCGAGGCCCAAGCATCATCCAATGTCATGTTGTCAACCGAGGCCCAAGCATTATCTGAGGCTCATGAAGAATCCGAGGCTCTGTGTAAGTGGCCGAAGCCCACATCTTCCATATTCACTTCTCCCAATAGATCTTCTACATAAAGATCTTATTTGGAATGATTGACGTGACTTTTGTGTAAAGTATATTTGTGTCTTGTCTTGTCAATGTAAGAGCATTTAATGCTTTGTAAGGCTAGGAGAGTCAACTTGATGGCTAGGACTTGATGTCTTGGCCGAGGAGATGGTGCCACGTGTAAATTGATCCAAATGTCACAATTTGAGTTGTAACACTATAAATACC